ATGTGTTCTTCCAAACTATGTTCTATACGTATAGCAAATTTTATCGAGATCCGTTCAGCCGTTCTGGAGATACCTTCAAACAAACAAAAATGAATCCATCCATCCAAACATTCGCATTTATAATATTATATTAGTGTGGCTAATATCTTAAAATGTACATATTTCTTCTTTATAATATTATAAATGCGAATATTTTTATGCGTGGATGGATGGATCTTCGAAAATATCTCCAGAACGACTACATGGATGTCGCTGAAATTTAGCTTAGATATAGAATGTTATTTTTCTTCTAGACTTTGTAGTCTGGAAGTAAATATGTATATAGAGATAAAATAATAATAGAGGATTTACAATTTTTGCTGATTATAAATTATTTTTTTTTTTTAAGTATTGGAAGAGTGGTTTGTATCTGTGTAAACCCACTTTATGATATGCACAGTATATAATAGGATATGGGAGGTATATGAATATAGAATTGTATGTAATAACTTAATTAAAACCAAGTCTCCGCTGTATTCTTTAATAAGAGCTATTCATTGTTAAACGCAACTCTTAATTAAGTCCGCCGAGAGTGAACGTAATTTACCTTGATCTTAGTAATTTTAAAATGTTTAAGCTTCGATCAATTTTTCTTAATTAAAAGTAAAACAAGCGATAAAAAGTATTCCAAATTATTTTATCAAAAACTAGCTGTCGCCCGCGACTCCGTCCACGTGGATATATAAAAAAATAAATTAGTGTGGCCTATGTGTTCTTTCAGACTATGTTCTCTACGTATGCCAAATTTAATCAAGATCCGTTCAGCCGTTTTAGAGATATCTTCAAACACCCATCAATCCAACCACATCACATCCATCTAAACATACGCATTCATAATATTATAAATTCGAAAAAATAAGTATTATCCTATGTCCGTATCCTGGTTCTAAGCTACCTCCTCACCAATTTTCAGCCATATCTGTAAAGCCGTTCTTGAGTTATAAGTAGTGTAACTAACACGACATTCTTTTATATGTATAGATGTTTCATACATAACCGATAAAGTTTCATTTACGAAGTATGGAAACTATATGAAAATAAGATGAATCTTATACAAGTTTTTAGTTATAAAAGTTGTAAGATATTGTCATTTTGTTACGACATTCAATAGTTTTAGTACCTCATTTGCAAATGATTTGATCTCACGTGCTAAAATGATTTGGTTCGCAGCACGTGCCTGCCGATTCCATTATCGGTTTTCCGTCGCATCGGGTAATAGTCAATTTGTTTAACGAACTAAACGCCGTTACGTCGCCGTGAATATGAACAGAGTACCAAATGAACGTCAAATTTTGATAATATGCATGCAAAATACGTTCGAAAAAATTATATTATTTTACGAATTAACTCCAGCCGTTCCGAAGGTTATTCGGAACAAACACGACATGCAAAAATTTTAAAAATGTTTTTTTCGCTATTACCAACACAAATACATCACGCGGACGTAATGTGATTTCTTTCTTGATATTTAATACGAATACTCCAATTTTATTAATATGTGTAGGTAGAAGCTTTGGTGTACATAACTAATGGTAAAAATTTGTTGAAACTGGCCGAGTAGTTATTAAGTTTCAATATATCCGTATATCCACACCAGCGATCGCCCGCGACTCCGTCCGTGCGTTACAAAGAAACATAATTAGTAGCCTATGTCTTCTTCCAGACTATTTTCTATATGGACGCTAAATTTCATCAAGATCCGTTCGGCCGTTCTAGAGATACCTTCAAACAAACATCGATCCATCTAAACATTCGCATTTAAACTATTAGTAAGATAATATAATATACCCGGGTAATTTGTTTCAACAGATATCACACGTTTTCACTTCTTACTTGTCATTGAGAATTGTGGCGCAGAATTTAAGCGAGACTCATTTACTCATCTCGTGTCGTTTTCAGCTAATGACTGCCTAGAGCATTACTTGAACGATCTTCCCATTTTATAAGAAACATTTATCAGTCGTACACAATTTACGAACATTACATTCGTTTTATTTAAATTTCTATTAATTTTACTAATATCTTACTTAATAGATAGATGGATGTTAGAAGGCATCTTCGGAACGGTTGCATGGTTGCTGAAATTTGGCATATGTAGAACATAGTCTGGAAGAACATATAGATTATTAATGTTTCTTTCCATTCCACGCGAATGGAGTCTCGGGCGACAGTTAGTATTCACATATTACGATGTTAAAATTTTACAATAAGGTCATTTTAAGTGAAATATGCCGTGAATACTTCTTTATATGATTATTGAACTCATAGCAAACCTAGTTTAAGGCGTTATTAGTTAGAATCCTTTGTTGCGAATGACTTGCTTCCGTTACAAAGTCCAGTGTCAGAATGAATAGTGAGGGGACATAAACGTCGACATTTTAATAAGGCTAGTGTTATGCCAGTACACCGGCACAGTGTCGGATATTATACCTTATACGAGTAAATAATTGTCATAAAAATATTTTTTTTAATAAAATATTTTTTATTAGTTTTCCATCTCCAAAATAAATCTATTGTGCTAGCACGTATTGTATTATATAAGAGATTTTAAACTGCAATCTTAATTAACAACAAGCATTTCGACGTCCAGTTGGAGTACACGAGCTTTTAATTGTTTCTGCATCTGTTGCAGAGAGTACAAAGGAACTTGATATATTCCGTCCAATTTACAACGTAGTTTAAGCTTTTGATACAATACCGTATTAACAACTTTTCTCAATGGTTTTTGTACATTTACAACGTTACTAATATTATAAATGCAAAGTTTAAATGGATGGATGTATGTTTTGAAAGTAGCTCCGGAATGACTTAACGGATATTGATGAAATTTGGCACTGATATAACGCATACGGAGCGCGCGAACGGAGGCGCGGGCGACAGATAGTATATTATAAATGCGAAAGTTTAGATGGATGGATGTATGTTTGAACGTATCTTCGAAACGGCTGAACAGATCTTCATGAAATTTGCCATATATGTAGAACATACCCTATAAGAACAAAAAGGCTACTAATTAAGTTTTTTTTAATTCCTAGCGACAGCTATTCTTTCATATTTTATTTATTCATATTTTAGTATATACTATATACTTTTAAAGTTCTAAAAGTATCATTGAAGGTATTGGTAACAATTATATATTCGTAGCTATTAATTGCGAAGCTAATTGAGACTCAGTGAACTGTCTCGACCACTAATTAAGATTCACGTTTCAATTCTCACGAAAATTAAGTTACAAGAAAATTGTTAACTAACTCCTCTCTTGAATAATAACAACGGTATCAGTATTTTGGTATAAATCATTTCAAATGTTTTTCATGTTCATTTTATAAATTACTATCTGTCGCCTGCAATTCCATCCGCGCGGAATTAAAAAAAAACTTAATGAATAGCTTATGTGTTCTTCCAGACTATGTTCTATATCCATGCCATTTATCACTATATCTTCAACTGTACTAGAGATACAATCCATCTAAACAATAGCATTTATAATATTAGTAAGATTATTAGTAGCTGTCGCTCGCGATTCCGTCCGCGCTTGTGTTCTTCTAGACTATGTTCTAAATCTACGTTAAATTTCAACAAGATCCATGCAGCCGTTCTGATACCACACATCCACATACATCCATCTAAACATACCCATTTATAATATTAATAAGAAGTATAATGTAATCCGAGGATGATGTTCCAACAGTAAAACAATTTTTCATATCAGTTTAGTAGTTTTACAGCCTATTTAATGCATGCAAATAAACAAGCAAATCTTTTATCTATATAATATTATAAAGAATAGATAGTATAGATAAAAGATATTGTTTTTATTGCGTCATATTTTATTGAACCGAATAATTGGTAATCTTCTAATGTATTTATATATCTTTTACATAAAATTATCTCTGAATGATATCTTTTTTTAGAATTAACCATGTCTTCCGGTCTTAAAATTAATCCCGGAAAACATAGATAGACTTATCTTAATATTTGTTTATTATCATGCGATCAGTTTGTTCGAAACTTCTAAGAATAGTTTCAATATGACTTATTTTAATCAAAATTTCTTATCATATAAAGACATCATTTTTAGTTTAATTACGTAGATAAAAATATAGAAAAGAAGTCATCATCAGCTCACTACACGACCCCACCGAGAGGCTCGGAGCATACCCTAAAGTAGGGGTGACTAGGTCATAGTCAACCACGCTGGCTAAGTGTGGGTTGGTTGATATGTGCAGTTGCATCACGATGTTTTCCTTCACCGTAAAAACGTCGGATGAATGTACATGTGCAAATCGGAAATCGAAAGACATATTGGTACATGGTGGGATTCGAACCCAGGACCTGCAAGTCAAGGGCTTGTCTTCTGAACCACCGACGCTCTATAGAAAAAAAAATTAACAAACCGAATTTTAAACTAAAAAGGTCTTTGAAAAGTCTTATTATAATTAAATAACTCAAGGAAAACTCTCTATTCATTGTGAATAAGAAAACCGTTTCATGAATTCATTTAACTGTGGATGAAATTTGAAAATGGAATTGTTATTTTAACATTCCATTTTAAATCTGGAATGATTTTATTTTTATTTCAAAAACACGCTGCCAGCCAAGCCAGTCTTAGTGCATAATATTACCGACTAAAGACTTAACTAAACGTTATTTCTGTAAGTTTTCATTTGTAAAACACCCTTTATATAGCATATTGCTGTGTCCGTTTATTCAAGCATTTTTTTTTATTTTACTAAATACCATTTAAGCGCAATTTTACTAGGAAATCGATGTTAGGAGTAGACATAAACGACTAGAACGAATCGAATATATACAAATATTTATTTATAAAAGCGGTATTTAAAATCTACAAAAAACTTGTTAAAAAATAAAACACACATCAATCTTTTCTATTTTTATTTCATTTAAATATACCCAAGTATATAATTATTTAATTGCTTGTATCATTGCTAAATAAACGTTTACATTTAATTAAATAAACTGAATTAAAATGTTATCATTTAAAACAATTTGTTATGAGACCGACGAGCAAGGGTTTGCGGTTTGCCCCGGGCATAGCAACAGGTAGGTCAAGGCTGAAACAGTATTACGTTGCACATTACCAAATCAATGTAGCTTCAATTTAGTATTTGTTTAACATTTCTATCAAAGTATATAAAAACATAGCAATTATATTTATATAAAGGCGCGTACTTCAGCGATGTATGTAAATGAAACATTGAGGTACAAATGGTAAGCATTAAGATATGACACACAAATTTTAAGCGAATTTCGAATATTTGCAATAACTAAGGAACAAAGGGCCTAGTACGAATATTTGTGACACGCACCTCCGTAACGTTATCGAAAGAAAATGTCAAAATTTGTATGTACTGAACAACGGGGAGGGGATATGCACAAATTTTAAAACATAATCTATGATGTTTCATAAATGTTGTTACGAATATTCCTACTGGACCCACCGTTGATGCATTACCTGTCCAACTTAAGTAGTACGCTCTTTTCTTGATAATCTTGGTATAATAATATATCGTCATTAAATAGCTTTTTAAAAGTTTAGCAAAAGCACAGTTTTTATAAGCTTTTTACACATCAACAAGGTAATATAAAACGTTCTTACCTGTTTATTTTCACACAAAATGTTAAAGAAGTGTAAAATTAGGTCGTGTCAACACTTTGCGCTCGAACTTATTATAAAAGTTTGAATTGAAATGGGACTATTTAATTGTGTTTTTGACGTTCAAAACGAAGTTGAGTCTGCTTCAAATTAATTAAAATTTCTACGTATTCATCATATTTATGGACCTGAAAGAGATATTAAAATATTTTTCGCTTAGATTTAGTATAATATTGAAATATCTCGCACTTTATTTTTAATAACCATTTAACACATGAACCAATGTCTTATTTATCATGATTTAAAATTCAATGTTTATTCTGGAAAGTGTAAATAAGACGTAGTAATTATTGAGATAAGAAAATAAAGTAACATAAAAGTAACCCGTCGTAAAAGCAATCGTTAAAAGGGTTTGAAACAATAAACACTATTTGAAAAAGGTTTTCTGTTAAATGAATTCTTTTCTCACAAAGTTCATTTAGATAAGCGTCCAGTAACAATACAAAATCACACGCATTCACTGAAAATAGGCCTTTTTTGAAAAACATTAAGATAACAAAAGATACTCCTCCGTCCATACAATTAATTTTTAAATAATTCATATAACGTATGTAAAAAGTAAGTTTGTTTGCACTTTTACTACAGAATTTTTATTATTCTCCTGTAGGAAAAAGAAGCGTTCAATATATGCAATTTCGACATAGAATATGTTATATTTACCATGGGTTTCTGGGACCAAAATCTTCGTTTAAAACATATTGTTATCGTTTTGTCGAAGATGACATGGATATATGTTTTATACACAGGTTTTGGCCACAGAAACCCATGGTCAGTATTTTGCCATCAAAGAGAAAATTTTATCACTTTCTCCTTAAATGCAATAATACGATTTAAATATTTTAGCAACATTCAATTAGGAATCAGAGAAATAAAACAATTTTGTTCGATAAAGAAAAAAAAGGTTTATTAGATTCTTATCTTAGACGTTAAGAAAAGAATAGGCGCTTTTCCTTTTAAACTTTTCTTACTTCAATTCCATTAACGTAGGAAAGTTGTTCAAAAATTTGTTGCGAGCTGTAAGCGTCTTTATTGTGAAAGTTAAGAGGCTCAGCTGTTCTGATTGTGTGCGGACGAGCATTAATCAAAAGATACCGTCTACCAGCTTGCTGTTATGTACTTTAAACATATGTCGATGGCTCCTATGTAAACTATCATAACTCACTATCTAATATATCTACAATGCTTATTTTTAATTGAATCTTACTAATATAATAAATGCGAATGTTTAGATTGATGGATGTATGTTTGCTAAAAGGTATCTCCAGAACGGCTGAACGGATCCGGTTGAAATTTAGCATAGATGTAGAACATAGTCTGAAAGAACACATAGGCTACTTATTAGGTTTTTTAATTTCGCGCGGACGGAGTCGCGTGCGGTAGCTAGTTAAATTAATAAAAATCTTCGTTATGTATTCGTAATGTTTTATGAGTTTTATAGGTAATTTTTTATTATCATCATTATAGGTTTAGTACTAACAAGAGTAGATTAACTTTACCGTATTATGTTGATTCATTCTCAAAATCCTGCATTAAAATTAATTGGCATATCAAAACAAGAAACATTTGCTGATATCACAAAATAAATGAAGCAAATTCGTTGTATGAAATTAACAAAGAGACGTGCATCATTAAAATTTCGTACACATTGGAAAAGGCGCTTAATTATTCCGTACCATCGGATACCTACTTTAAATGCCCACAGCTTTTTGTTCAATTCAATTATGAATTCGGGTCTCGCTCGTTTTCATATTTAATATTTATTATTAGCTTTTTTGCTTGAAATGTTGATTTTACATTTATGAATTAATGGTTAATTAATCTATCACCACATGTTTTATATTTGTTTAATTCTAAGTCATAATCTCTCGGAGCTCGGAGCCTACCCAAGTTAGGGGTGACTACGTCATAGTCAACCACGATGGCCAAGTGCGGGTCGCATTCACACATAATTTTAAATTTCTTCGCAGATATGTGCAGGTTGCAACACGATGTTTACCTTCATCGTAAGAACGGCGCATAAATACATATGTAAATTGAAAAACACATTGGTACATACTGGGAATTGAACTCAGGATCCGCAGATTGCAAGTCATGTGCTTAACCCCTGAACCATCGACGCTCGAATTTTTTTTAATTAAGTAAAATATCTCATTTATTTCAATTTGTTAGAACATTATAGCACTCTTCCTCTGTAAATATTTACATATTAATTAAATTTCTGAACAATGAATGGAATATTAAACTTGTCATGTCATACAATGTCATAATGTCATTTATACTGTGACATTTGCGATTGCGCAAATGTCTTCGTCGACACGCGTCTACTGTCACAAGCGTGTCATGATACAAATGTTTCGTAATAAACGACAGGAAATGTAAGAACAATTCCTTTTAAATTTGTACCATTATCATCAGTCTTAATATAGATAGCCTTCTATCTGGTAGCATGTAATTTGACTAATATTGAAAATGTAAAAGTTTGGGTGAATGGATCGATGTTTGTTTGAAGGTATCACAAGAACGGCAGCATGGATCTCGCTGAAATTTGGCACAGATGGAGGAGATAGTCTGAAAGAACACAAAGGCTACTTATTAAGTTTTGGTTTATCACTTCGTGCGGACGGTATCGCGGGCAACAGCTAGTAAATGAAGAGATGGAGATAATGTAGTATAAAGGTTCAGTCCATTCATTTTAATTTCATGCTTAATAAACAAAGTGTGTACATATAAAAAAATCTACCTTTAATTATACCAGTAGCTCTCAAAAAAATATTATACTAACATAAATCTTTTCCTAACATTGCCGTATTTTCTCATATCCAGTTCATTTTAAAGACAAGATGAAAGCTGGCGAGAATTTCAATCACTCATTGTTCGCCTCCTAGTATCTTGGAAATATTTTTCATCGTTTTTCTGAGACTACAAAGCCCTGCTTAACACGAACTCTTAAACAACACGGCCACGCAACAGGCGTTAGAAAAGTATAGACATGTCTTAAAGTTATAATAAATCGAAAAGAATGTAACATCTTTCTTTATTATTAGCAATAATAAAAGTGTGT